ATTTGACAGAATTTGAACTGGAATGTATAAGGAAAGCAGGTAAAATGCAACAAGACAGAAGAGGCATAAATAACTCTTTCTTACCAGAGAAAGATAACTATTTTTTTTCCTAAACTATCTCCCTTATTCTAGGTTTGATCTATCATCTGCTTGACATAGTATTCCACTTCTTAGGGCCATCTAGTTCTTTCTGTATTATATTCTAATCCCTTTCAGAATTAGTAGTACTTCCCAATTTAACTAAATACATCATGGTACTAAGAGAGGAGTGACGTTCAGAAATACAACAGAAGGTACAATTTGTGTGCTTCAGACTAAGAATTTCTTCTATAGGAGTACTTCACCAGTTGAAGACATCCAAGATGGATTTCAGTATCTCACCAGTGGCCTCCTGCCCATACATTTGGTTAGGAAAAGACCAGCTCAGTTCAAGCGGATTAGCTGGGGAAGCCAGATACACAGCAATTCTTTGTAAATGCTTTGAGATTAAAATATCCTGTGCTCTCCTAGCCAAAAAAAAATAGTTGCAACACTGAAAAATCTTGAAAGCAAAAAAAAAAGGTTCTAAAGGTTGTTTTTCTACTCAGTATTTTATGTCAAAATTATTTTTTTTTTAATTGATGACCAAAGTATCTTACCTTGTATTTGTACACATCTACAACCAAACTATGAGCTGTGATCCCCATGCTGGCAGACTCATAATTAAAGCTGTATTTTAGCCATCTGAACCTGACAGAATAGGCTTGTTTTGCACACTTCCTTTTCATGGAATTTATCTAGAGAACAATGACTTTCAAAGTCTGCAATTTACCATGTTTTCTTGCTACAAAATAATCTGATAATGTAGCAGTTCTGTGATTTCCAAATCAATAGGTTTTAACTGTCATTGCCACAATCAGCTACCCAATTTCTTTGCCCATTTTTTGGCAGAACTGGATGCATGCAGCCTTATTACAATAGTTTATGGCGACACTGAAAAAGTTATTTAAATTTGCAGCTGGACAGTTTTGTCTCTACACAGAATCCAGGCAAGGCAAAGTAACTGAAGAGCCTTACAAAAATTCTATCACGACTATGCACATAATGGCACCAAAGATGATTCATGAAAAACTTAATTGTTCCCTTCTGCAGATTTCGTTTTCACAGAAGGACAAGTTGTGCACTTCTGGGAAAGTCTGAGATTATCAAGTTATAAAAAAAAAAAATATTGTCCCACTGCCCACTTTCATATGAAGAGGGTTTGGGTTTTCTCAAGTTTTCCCCCAAGAAAAATTAAGTTCCCATTGCACAGAACCATTCTTGGATACAACCAAGTAACAGAAACGAGACACTCTGTGTAACAGTCAGCCATTATTCCATTTCTGGTTTTTATTACGCTCCTTACTGTACAGCACCTTCACTTATGAGCAGTGGTAAGGTCAAGAGGCAGCCCATAAAAAATATTCTTAAAGGATATTGACAGTTTTTAGCACATCGTTTGCGTTCAGCAATGTCTGATGCATCTCGGAACCAGCTGTACACCCTCAGGTAAGAAGAGGACCCAGGTTAACTCCCTAAATGCTACACCAAACGTTTGCAAGCAAGGCTGACGCTTTCTGTGGTATCTGAAAACTTCAACAGCAGTTCAGATTTTTTGAATAATCATTTTGGAGTCTAAGAGAAAGTGAATATAATCAAGTTAATAACATACCTGATCATCATGAGAGCACTAGCTCTGATCTCAACCCTGACGCAGCATGTGATTCCAAGATGACAACTCACAACTACTCTGCAGAAGCTGCCAAAGGGAAAAGCAAAAGCTTTTGAATAGAGATGAGTCAACAGGATTCCTTCTGATTCCTTGTCACTTACTGGGCTAAAACTAGCATGTCATATTCATGACAAAAAAAAAAAAAAAAAAAAATGGCCCAGCAGGCCTGAGTATTAGAAATTGTTGATAATCTTCATCTGATCATGCAGGTACACAAAGACATTTTTGCAGTTCTGACGAGATATTGAAGAGAGTTTCAATGCAGCGTGGTACATCCAGGGCCCAGGCAGCCCATCTCCTGCTCAGCCCTGGTTTGTTTCTAGCAGAGTAGCTCCCATTGGCCAAGACCAAGGTCTGGCCGCCTCTTCATGCGGCTGCAGGCCTTAAGATTTCAAAATGGCTTGTGGGAAAATAAACATGCACTAAGCATATGATTAAAGCATTTTCCTGCCTTAGCTCCAGATGTCAGTACCGTTCTTCACCACGTTTCCCCTCCATTCCTCCTGCATTGAAGTGTGACAAGTTTCAATTCCTTTTACAGTTGCTGCATATCTTGCAAACTTACTCAAGTTTATTTCCATTTACATTTCACACCAAGACCAAAGTTTAAAGAAAGTCATTTAAGCAGATGTATCATGAAAAGCAAAAGAAACCTCAAATGCAAAACTTTAAAGTCAGTTTATAAAGATTTCAAAGACTCAGTTATTTTCCTTACAGGAAAATTAAACTCTATTTATTCTTGGATGGAACGTAAGAGTGAAAACAAAAATTAGGACAATTGAGAAAAATTTCAGAAAGATTGATTACCCTAATTTGGAGGAAGGTAACTGTATCTCTTTGCATTAGAAGAAGTTAGTCATCTGGTCCATTGCGGCTAATCTCCAGTCATCTCTAAATCTTCATGTCACCAGAGGGAAGGCAGGCAGTTGCTGGCACACGCTTCTCTTCCTAACACCGAGCTCTACCCGCACCATCATCATGCAGCCCTGAGGCGTTCAATCTGCCACCGTGGCATCTGCTTACCTGCCCCATGCCAGATTTTGGGAGAATGAAGTTAACTGAGCTCATGCAAACAGATGAATAGCAAGAACAGTGCTCAGTAGCAAAAGCAAAAGTTAATTATAACTTCTCAGACAAAAATCAGATGCAGTAGAAAGTTTTATGAATATGTTGAAATTCAATGAAAACTTTTGGTTGAGTTTCAGTATTTCAAAGGTTGAAAGCTCCAGGACAGCTCTGCCCCATTTTCTCTTGGGACTATGGATCCAAGGCCTTCCAGTGCCTTCAGGTATAGGACCACCACGGATGGGAGACAGAGAACCTACAGCTGGAAACCTGGCTGCAGCTCCCTGCTATGCCAAGATTCCCCAGGACCTCTAGGACACGATGAGCACTCTGACCCCTGCAGAAATCTCAGCTCTGGCAACTTCACAGTCCAAATTACTGGCTGCACAGAAAGTTCCTCCATAAGACCACCACCCTCCCCCAAGTTTCCAGGCTTCTTCCTGTACAATTGTTGGCATTAAACTCCCCGAGATCACAACCCCTGAGCCACCTGAACGTTACCATTACCAGGGACTGGAAATCTCATGGCTTTCAGGTTTCATGGGCACCAGAGTATCAATACTACACACCAATAATAAGTGAAGCATCACAACCATTTCTTTAAATACCTTCTTCTGTCTCCAGCAGATTTCTAACTAAACGGAGGAGAATGCCAGGTATCACACAGCTTAGCAACAGACCGCATAATGAAGAATTAAACTATGCACAGAGTAATACTAGCAAAGCAACAGAGAGGAGAATTTATTTGTATAACATGTGAACAAAATATTTAGATGTTTCAGGACGATCCCTGTAAGCAATTTTATTTCATGTTATGAATAGTTTGGTTATTTCTAGCTCCCAAAAATAATTGGAGGGGTTGCCATTGGTAGCATTCATTGTCCTTAGACATACAACTCGCACCCAAATCCCCTTACCAAGCAGTGCTTCAGCGCTCCCTTCAGACAAGGAAACACCACAAACTTGTCGTTTTGAAGATGGGGGTATATTCCTTCCCCATTAATGCCCTGCCATGGTTCTTATGCCCAACATTACAGCTGTAACCATAGGATCAACCTTTTACAGCACCTTCAAGGTAAGTCTTAGGCTATGCTTACATCAGCAAGAAGTATGACATGAGAATCAGACTTGTAAAGCAAGACATTTGGCGCTAAGAATCCAGCTTTTACTCTGCATGCATTTCAAAGGGCTATACTTCAAACACAATCTTACCTGGTCCGGTGGACTGAACACATACCAATTAGCCAAGACACAGGGTATGTACATCCTGCAGTTTAGCTTTACCAAAGAACTCCATTTGTGCCATCATGTGATGCAAACTGAATTGTGAAAAGCAGGGAAAACTCAGATTTATTTCAGGAGCATTCAACTGACCAAAGATCAAAATGGCAGCGTAGGTGCACTCCTGTTCTCCCAACAGCTTTGCACACCACCAGTAGCCCTCAACACTGTGGGAGGGCTCCCACAGTGCAGCTCCGAGATAAGATCCGTTCAGATAACCCTCACCCCAATGAAAATCAGTTTAATTCTTTCCAGGCTTCAGCATCTATCCTCATGGTACTAACTTCCATATCAAAGCTTATGCCTCCTATATGTAGGAGTAAGCAATAGTCATTACAAGAAGGCCAAGAAATCATCAAAAACTTATGCCCTAAAAGTCCTCTCTCTCCACTGCAAGAGCAGTCAAATTTTAGTTATATATGATGAAAATCCAGACTAGATAAGAAAAGTTTTCCCAATTTGTTTTTTTACTTGATGACAAAGTACCCTAAGCTTCTTCAGAGACTTGCACCATACAAGACTACCAATGGGATTAAGTCACCTTTTCTCATCTTTTTTTTCATTCTAAAAATGAACCACTTTGTGTTGCAAGTGCCTGGAATCAAGCTCCTATACATGCAACAGGATTGTTTTCACAAGCCAATCCAGTATCATCTTTGATTTATTGATGTTTACTTTTTTTTTTTTTTACACTATCAGGAACTACAAAACACAGAAAAGATTGATAGCCAAATTATTTGGCTTAATATAAGGGAAATACAATAGATTTTAGAGTGATACCAGAACCCTAACATTTACAAGTATTTTCAATAACAAAAAGATTCCATGAAATTCCAAGTTCATCATTTACTGCAGAACAGAACAATTTCTCTAGGCTAATTATAACAGGGAATGAATATCCTTTAATAACATTCTTTATTATGAGAATAAATACATAAAACAAACACAATATATTAGCCACAATTCCTCATATACATTCAGAATATAACAAGAAGCTAATAGGCATAATCATCAGAACTAGTTGAACCAACAGATTTTTACTAAGCCAACAAACACTCGAGGTAAGCTGGAAAAATTTATGCACTAGTAGCAGGCAAAGAACATGTGATTTCAATGTTTCCTTGATATTAATTTAAAGACAAATATACTGTAGTTATAAGCATGAACTGACAGAAGTGTTTAGCTCCGTGCGGTGGCCGTTTGAGGTTGTTCTGACTGCAACTGCTTTCCAAGGTATTCCCTGAAACAGAACAAAAAAATTAGACTGAGAAAAATTGTGGACAGTGGGGAGTAGAATAGTGGTGGGAAGCATGAAGTAGAGAAAGAGGAAAAAGCTTTAAGTTTAGAGTTTTTCCTTCAAATAACTTCTGCTATTTGACAGTCAACTGGAGCTACTCTGAGTATCTAAGCTTTAGGTATCCATCATCTATCCCTCTGAAAATAAGGTACAAACCAAGCATGAATGAAACTGTCTGGAAAAAGAAAAAGACCGATGGCAATACTTAGAAGTCCTGGCAACTGTTACAGACCACATATGAAGCCCACAGATTTGGCTTGCTGAATATACATATTAGAAGCTGTGGCAAAGCATTTAAGAGGATCTCTTCCCATAACCCAGCTGCGTGAGCACAAGTAATACCAATGGACACACAGGCAATTTAACCCATAGGCTAGCAAAATAGGCACTGACTGAAGAACCGTATGTTCGAATTGGAAGAAAGAAAAGATATCCAAGCCAGACCCACTGTATACCACCCACCTTCTTTAAAGTGTTTTCCTCACCTGTATTTTGAAGTGCATTAAGTCACTTATCTTATACCTGTCCTCTCAACACTGGAACAAACACTCCCCAAATTCATAGCATTTACCTCGAGCAACAATACCTAAATTCTACGGAACAATACTGCACAATTCTTCTGAATGTTCTCATCTTTCACTGTCTCCTGTGAAAGCAGCTCAAGACTTCACAGAACCACAAAGAAGCTGAGAGGTCTTTAGTAATATCTGAGTTGTTACTGTTTTGTAACAAGCAAAACTTCAATAATTGTACCACTGCATCAGCTGAAAGAGAGGTTTCAGGACCTGTGAAATGTAGGCATTCTTTTTCCATTGCTGATCGTACACTTAGCACCACAGTTTCTCACTGCACAGGTATTTCAGCCTACACAGGTTAAACATTAAAAGCAGTTCAAAGAAATGATGTTCAGAACGAAGCCTTCTTAAAAAAGCCTCAAGAGTATGTACTTTTTCTTTAAAATAAATTTTTTTAAAAATCAGTTCTTATTGCACATTTCAAAAACTAGTTTTAAGTTTCGTGTCCTGTTGAACAGCTATTCCCTATGCATTGCAATTCCTATCGCACAATGAAGTTTAGCATCACAACCATACCACCCAACAGCACTTTCCTCAGTTTTAAAGCTAAGTACCTAGAAAAGCAAAATTCCTACAAAAGCATAATGTTAACTTCAAATTCCACTAGCAAAGCAAATAACACACAATTTGTATGCTGAGCCATACATTACGATTTAGCACCTTCCTTCACAGCTTTATCAGGTGTTGCTGCAGGATCACAGTATTTTAATGCTTGGGCTGCACTCAATAGATACGACTCTTGATCACAATAGGTAGTTTACCATCCTCAAAGTAGAGGCTCCTGATGGCAAAGAAGGAAACAAGCTGCTCTCTTGTGGTTTTGCAGGACTCAAAATTGTATCACCAAAATAAAAAAAATTGACAGTCATCCAAAAAACATAGCCAGCAACTATGGAAAAGCTTCCAAACTCACCAGACCTCCTTCTGCTCCCTCAGTGTTTTTTTAACTTTGTTTCATGCCTATATGCTTGTACTAGTATTTGTCTGACATCCAGCCTTGAAAGCAACTGACACTGCATATGTGGCTCTGCTTACAGCATCACAAGCCTGCAAAGTTATTTATTCTTAAAGCACGCATGAACCATTTTGAATGTGAAATCCCTATGATTTTCCTACTTCTAAGTAATTGCAATCAAGCTAACAATCCGTAACAGCACAACTATTGAGTAGCTTAGGTTCAGAGGTATGCTCAAGGCTTACTAAAATCCAACCACAGTGCAGTGCATTCAGCAAAAATCTCTGAGAAGGCAGAGCAGTAGCATATTTTGTAGGTACTTAGTGCCTTAACAGACATATTCAACTTCTAAGGACATACAGTAGATAGTACAGTACCTTCCCTACAAAACCTTTTATTTCAGCTGTTCATTTGCAGGTGTGAGGTTTAAGTCCAGGGACAAGGAAAAGCTCTTATATCATTTCCCCATATAGAATGAGTATCTGCACTTACTGCTCTACACTGCCATACTGCAACCCTGGGTGAAAAGCCCATACTGTCCCTATCCCATCACTTCTTTATTCACTACCAAGGGCCACTGAAACGCAAAAAAAAATTGTCCCACTTGCTCTTACAAGTACCAGTTAATTTTCTATTTGGTTATCATCTCCAGTTACATGTTAATGGTAAACCTAGGACAAGTGCTTGCATGGTCTATGCCAGATGACGAGAGGGATTGGTAAGAGACCGACAGGAGGGATTCAGACAGCTTCTCAACATGAAGCTTTCATGTGCAGCCTTAGGAGAGCAGACTGATAGGTTATTCTGCCAGGCCTTTGGTCACTGCACCCTCCCATCTCCCACTAAAACTCAAGCTACTGAGAGTAGTGTCAGTAGGCCCCTATTCTCCATCTGTTAAAAATACATACTGTAAGGACAAGAAAATTGAAGTTGGGTTTTTTTTTGGTGTTTTTTTTTTTTACACACTGGTGTTTCATCACATCAGGAGGTTAAATAGCACTGTAAGTTTCAATCATGCACTATAAGAGCATGTACAACGAAAGAAGGATAGATCTTGTTACCAAGATAACAAATCACTTCACAAAATATTCAAAACAGCATCTGACATTAGAAATGCATGCTACAATGGACAGTAATGAGGTATTAGACTTGATTTTTAAAATTACAAGCTATAAACCTCTGAATTGGACCACTTCACCCTATTTTAAACTTTTTTTGTTAGTCCTTCCTAACTTCAGAAAAAGATCACCTTTACCATAATAAAAGCATCGCGGTTGGTCTTTTGCAAGCACATCAAGTTTCTAAGATGGTTAAACTCAGAAGTAAAACTATACAACGTAAGAGTGTGGCCACTACTGGCAGAGATTCATGGATGCCTGATCAGGTCATGTTATAGACTAAGAGAAAACACATCCTGCTAACATTTCATATAGCTGAGCTTTGAGGCCCACATACCCATTGCCTTTCAATACATAATCTTAGCAGTAATAGCTTTTTTCCTTTCTAACCAGGCCAAGCAGATCTGCAGAGTGTCGCTCAATATGCATTCCACAAGATGTACAAAATTCAAGTACAAAGTTGTGGAAAAAGAGCAAAATACTGTCCTGGCCAACAACAAATTCAGTTATCAATTCTTTCCATGAGAAAGCTGCCTTTCATCTTGAGTAGGCACTGGATTATTGTATATAATACCAGCCAGTCAGAAACAGCAAACATTTTCTCAATACAAATACACCAGCTGTCCAGCCATTACATACAGCTCACATAAGAGGTGAATACATTAATTTGTTGCTTCGTTCAGTTTAATTTAATTGGTTTTGTTGGCATAGGAGAGACACTGACACCCTCAAGCTGAGATGTACTTAAGTGTCATGGTAATTGCAACAAATGCTTAAAGGTCACTTAGGAAAAGGCACAAGAAACTGATCAAAAACATAAGCCACCAAATTCAGCGAGTATGGAATAACGAGAATTGCAAACCGGCAAAAGACTCTACCTGAAATTTTTATACTAATTTTCAGATTGAGCAAAGGATCGTTGTCAAAAGCAAATGAGAGATGGGAAAGTTTTAAGGTTTCAACAGATTTCTAGAGGTCACGTGCTAAAAGGAATAACCCTTGCAGCTTAAGAACTACTACTTTCAGTGTTATACTCCAAATTCCAGTGCAGTTACATTTACCTGTCCTTTAAGGAAAACTGAAAATTCCTCCTTTTGGCAGGCAAAGGAAGAGAAGTAGATGAAGCATAGAAAAAAAAATTTCCTATTTTTTCTTTTCTAACAACATTTATCTTAAATCTTGCTTAAATCCAATTTATTAAAGAACTACATGATAAAAAAAAAATTGATGGTCTGAACATCTGTAGTATCTAGTTTATTTTAGCAGCCTGAGGTTCCTAAGAGGCAGAATGTTTTCCCTTGACAAAGAACAATATAAAAATATTGATTTTATTTTTATTTATCTAAACATAAACCTAAAGTCCCATGCTTTTGAAAGTGAAAATGAAAAGCTAGTTCGAAAGAAATTCTTCCCTTTATGAAAGAGTACAGAAGTGCAATAAAGTTCCAACAAAAAGCCTGCTACACAACTCAACTCAAAAGTCATTGCCAACACACATGGTTACAGACAAATCATAAAGATACAATGAATAGTTAAACAAAACAAATTCAAAGGACAGGCAGCAGATGGAATAGTTTGAACAGATTTGACATCTTTATGTTGCATTTCTACTATGGGTCTAATAACCTGGATTTATTGAGACAGACAGACCAGTTTTAGTCATTTATTGCGGCTTCACAAGGTATTCCGAGTTACACAATTGATGGATTCCCAGCTCTAAGCAGGCTAAACTGTCCCTTGAAAGCATTGGTCTGAGACTGCTGCAAGGACAACTCCACAAATGTGACAATCCCTGGAACCTTCTAAGCAGCACAGTCACGAAGTGGCAACACCAGGACAAGGTTACAACCACCTCCTACGTTCCCATCTAATCCAGTGGAGAACAAAGGTGCCACGGCCACCCTCAAACCCATTCCAGCTGTGTGTGCCTGCCTTGCTCACAGAGCACTCATGCTGGCATTCTGGTGAGACAGTGGGTTTTGTTCATTTAACTCTCCAGTGAGTTGGTTTCTCCCAATAAGCTTCCTTGAACTCAGTTACTGCAGTGTCACATTAACACTAGTGGTGACCAGGAGAAAGGCACATGGAGCTGGAGAGTGGCCACTACAGGTGCATTTGCCTTCCACCAGAGCCACAGAAGTCAGTAGAGAAACTAAAGAAACCCTGAGCCTGGAGCTATATTGATATTTGGAGCCTGAAATATAATATTAACAAGTCATACTGCTGGATCAGAAGTTATACCACTGCATATTTTTATCTGTTATTTACAAAATATATAGTATATGGTTTTAAATC